TTCTCCAGCCTTTCCTCTCAAGCTTCTTGGGCAGTCTATTATTTGCTCAACTGCTATCAATTGCCTAGTGACAACTGACTAAAACACTGGTCTGTAAATGTTTTTGACAAATACCCCCTGGATAGTGGCTTTAACACTGGGCCAAATTAACTGAGATAAAGACAAGCCTTTTGAGCCCATCCTCCAGGAAGCCACTACATGGGTCAAAAGAAGTTATTATGGTTCCGTGACAATCAGGCCTCTTTTGCTCCTGGTACTGGTACTAGGAAAGTAGGCTATTATTTTCCAGAATGTCCCTGAGTTGAAAAGTAGGGGATGGGACTAGGTTAAGTTAAAATGTTAGGAAGCCTAGGGCACCTAGGTTGTTTGTTGTTGAGTTTGAGCCCCACACTGGGTGTAGAGATTACTTTAATAGACCAAAAAAAAAAAAAAAAAAAAAGAGAGAGCTTGCTGTTCCTAGAGATTTAGCTGTTTTTCTTGGCTAAGTGCTCCATGGGTTGCTGCAAGCTTTTGGTTAGTTTTCAGAGTTCCAAAAGAGTTGATTCTGAATGTTTTTGCTAGCTTTTTTCATTGCTTATATTGAACAGTAGACTTTTGGAGTTCCTTACTTCACCACTTCCCTCATTGTGGGTTTTTTTAAAAAAAGATTTTATTTACTTATTTGACAGAGAGAGAGAGCACAAGTGGGCAGAGTGCCAGGCAGGGAGAGAGAGAAGCAGGCTCCCTGCCGAACAAGGAGACCAATGTGGGATCAATCCCAGGACCCTGGGACCATGACCCGAGCCAAAAGCAGATGCTTTAACGACTGAGCCCCCCCTCCCCAGGCACCCCACAGGTTTTGCTTTTAATTCTTCCATTTTTGTTGCTATAATAGAGAAATAAATGACTTTTTCTATATTTATTTTGAATCCTGTGATTTTGTTAAATTTACTCAGTTCTATTAGTTCTTTGGTTGATTCCTCAGGATCTTCTATGTAAGTGATCATGACCTGTGTAAATGAAGGCAGATTTATTTCTTCCTTTTGAAACTATATACCTTAATTTTTTCTTTTTGAGATTTTATTTATCCATTTGTCAGAGAGAGAACACAGCAGGGGGAATGGCAGGCAGAGGGAGAAGCAGGCTCCCTGCCAAGCAAGGAGCCTGATGCAGGACTTGATCCCAGGGCCATGGGATCATTACCTGAGCTGAAGGCAGACCCTTAACCGACTGAGCCTCCCAGGTGCCCCTATAGTATTCTTTTTTGAAATGCTTTTGTTTCAGGCTAAATCCGACTTCACAAAATAAGTGGTAAATGTTTCCTATTCTACTTTTGGATGAGTTTTGGTAGAACTGATACTCTCTTTTCGTTAAATACTTAGTAGAATTCACCACTGAAGTTATACTGGCTTGGAGTTTTCTTTGTTTTGAATGAAGAATTCAAGTTCTTTGACAGAGATATGGCTAGTTAAGTTCTCTTTTTATTTTTTAATGAACTTTAGTAGTTTGTGTCTTTTAACAAATTTATTCATTTCACATAAGTCATCAAATTTATTAGTATACAGATGTTCAAGGAAATCATTTTCCTTTTAATGACAATAGGATATGCTATATTTTTTATTCTTGATACCTATAATTTGTTTTTCCTTTTCTCTCTTTTTTAAAGATTTTTACTTATTTGACAGAGAAAGAGAGCGCACAAGCAGGGGGAGCTGCGGACAGAGGAAGAGGGAGAAGCAGGCTCCCCACTGAGCAGAGTCTGATGTGCGGCTAGATGCCAGAAGCCTGGGAATCATCACCTAAGCTGAAGGTTGATGCCTAACCGACTGAGATATCCATTTTTCTTTTTTCCTGAGCACTTTGGCTAGAAGTTTATAAATTTTCTAGACTTTTTCCCTAAAGAATCAGATTTTGGTTTTTTGATTGTTCTCCATTGCTTTTCTCTTTTCTATTTTACAGTTCTTTTTCTCTATTTTTTTTTCTTCCTTATGCTATTTTTGGGGTTACATTAATCACCTTTTTAAAATTTCTTAAGGTGGAAGCTTAGATCATTGATTCATGACCTTTCTTCTTTTTTACTACAGGCCTTTAAAAGCTATAAATTTACCTCTAAGTGCTGTTTTAGCTGTGTCCCACAAATTTCTGGTATGTTATATTCCAATTTTCGTTCAATTCCAAATATTTTTAAAGGTCTGTTGTCATGGGTTTTAACACTTGGGTTTTTAGAATTATGTTATTTACTTTCTAAGAATTCATTAATTTTACAGGTAATTTCTGTTATTAACTTTTATTTAATTTCCAGAGGCCAAAGAGCATATATGATTTATAGTGTTCTTTAACATTTGCAACATTTATTTTATAGCCCAGGATATGTTCTGATTTTGTGAATGTCTTTTGTGCACTTGAAACAAATATGTTCTGCCACTATTGAGTGGGGTGTTCTATAAATACCAATCAGGTGGAGTTGGTTGATAGAACTTTTCAGGTCTTCTACATCCTTACTAATTTATTTATCTACTTGTTTTTTTAATTACTGTAGAACAGACAGAACAATGGTTTTTGTTTTTTACATTTTTAAGTTGTTATTAGGCACATGCACATTTAAAATTGTTATACCTTCTTGATTAATTGAACTCTTTATTATTAAGTTTTGTCTCTTTTTTTGGTACTGTATCTTGTTAAGTCTTATGAGTAGTGCTCATGGGATATCTTGTTCCATTCTTTTAACTTTAACCAGAGGCATTTGCTGAATCAAAATTGGAAAAAGTGGGAGAGAGAGTTACTAAGTATGATTCCCAAATACTTTGCTAATGTAACTAAGTGGAGAATAAAATCAGTCATTGTGATAGGAAGAGGCTTATGCAAAAACTAAAAGTTTGGATTTTAATCTGTTCTGTTTTCAGGGGTAACTGGACATACAGGTGGAGATGTAGGTAATATGCATCAAATCCTAGAAGAGAGATATGCCTATGGATATAGATTTTTAAGTCAATGGGAATAAAGAACAAAGGATCAAAGGCAAAATCCCAAACAGAAGGAACACTAAATCTTCCTAAAAGGAGGAGAAATCAGCAAAGGAGACTAAAAAGGAGTGAATGATTCAGAGCATAAATGAAAAAGCAAGGAGATTGCTGACTCATATACTAAGGACATAAAAGAGTTTAGAAAAGGTGGAAATGGCCAGAAATGTTCGAATTCTGAGAATATTGGTCATTAGAAATTTTTTTCAAAGTAGTTTCATAGTAGAAGTATAGTAGTGAAGGCAGATTGAAGTTAGTATGGTAATGGATGTGTGATTTTCATAAAATGTATAAATGTGTGAATACTGATGTAGATTATTTATTTATCTTTAAAAAACATTTCTTATTTATTTATTTGAAAGAGAGAGCATAAGCAGGGGATGGGGCGAAGGGAGAGGGACAAGCAGACTCCCCGCTGAGTACAGAACCTGATGCAGGGCTTGATCCCAGAACCCTGAGATCATGACCTGAGCTGAGGTTAAATGCTTAACCAATTGAGTCATCCAAGTGCCTCTGAGGCAGATTATTTTAAAAACAACTTAGACAATCTTGACAATGAGGGGAAGGAGAAAGAAAGGAGGAGGAAAAAAGGCAAATGTGATGATGTCCTTTACCCTTATCTCAGCCTAGTAATTCCTATTTCTCTTTCAAGATTCAACCATAGTTTCCCCTCTATGAGAAAACCCTCCATTCTGAATATAATGTAGCCTACAGCACTCCATAAATTCATTTGTCATGGTACTTACAACAATATGTTTTAATTATGTTTTTTCCTACTAGATAGGACTTGATGGCAGGGACTCTGTAAGTCCAGTGCTTAATTAGCATAATGTCTGGCACAAAGTATGTGAATTCAGGTTTAATAAATGAGTGATCGATAGATTGAGGCATATGCAGGTTGGGAAGAAGGAGTCAGTGGTGAGGAAGAGATTAAAGGTACTGAAAGCAGAGTTTAGATGTCACTGATGGAACAATGCCTTTAGGTCTGCAAAAGGGGATGGGTTTCAGCACACAGGCAGAGTGATTAGTCTTAAAAAGTGAGGAAAGGATATGTTCACATCTCTTAACAGAATAGAAATGTGAGATTAAAGTGTTTGTACTAAAGGCTCCTTCCTCCTTCCCTTCCAAGAAAGGCGGGAAAAACACTAAGAGGAACTGAGAACTGAGGAGATTAGCAAAGACTTGGAACGAATGTTAAGAGGAATGAGAAAATCCTGATCAAGAAAGGTAAAGGCATTGCCAAACACTGGATAAAAACCAACTGAACGGGAAACTCTCTCTTCATAGTAGCTTTCAGAGATCGTGTGTTTTTTTTTTTCTTTTTCCCCCAGTTAGACGCAATTTCCAGCTTTTAGAATCCGAGGGGATGAATTTTAAAATTGATACAGGGTTGAGGGCTGTTGTGGAGGTTGAAAGACAAGTGCGCAGGTGGACGGATTTGTTTTAGAAAGAAGGAAAGGTTATGTCTGTCGCAGTTCAGATGGTGTTGTGGGTATTTAAAATGATAGGCCGTGAGCGAAGAAGGAAAGAAGATGCTAGGCTGGGCAATCCCTCCATCCCTTTAGGGCTCCATCTAAGTTTGGGGGCGGGGCGGGGCGGGGCGGGGCGGGGCGGGGGTGTGGAGCGCCAAGGTCTCACCTGTGTGTCCGGCTCTAACAGCGCTCATAACATCTAGAAGGTGTCGAAGCTAACGCACAGAGACTTAGCGGAGAAGTCTCAGCTTCCGCAGTGACGACAGAGGCGGTGCGACCACTTGATCCTTGTCCCCTTGCCAGGCGCAAGCCGGGCTCGGGGGTCAGCTTTTAGAGTGGAGTCTTCCCTCCCGCAGGGCGCCGGAAGCGGCCTGACCCGGAAGCTTCTCTGCCGACCCGGAAGCAGAGCCGCGCGGCAACCGGCCGCCGTGGAGCCACCGCCCCCTCTCCGCTTTGCCGCTGTTTGGGGAGCCCGGACCGCGGTGGCGCCGGGTTGCCCTGATGGTCCCCGGCCAGCGGCGGCGGCAGAGGCGGCGGGAGGATGACCTCTACCCGGGAGCGAGGTGCCGACCTGGCCCGTTTCTACACTGTCACCGAGCCTCAGCGACATCCAAGGGGCTACACGGTGTATAAGGTCACAGCCCGGGTGAGTGCCAGTGTCGGACGGGCGTAGAACCCTGATTTGGGGCATGAGGGACTAGAGTATGGACCTTGGTTTGGGGGTACCTGACCCTGGGTCAGAGCCTTGGGTGGGAGTGGGTGCGCCCAGTGCCTGGACTTGCGTCGGCGGTGGGGACTTTTGGAAGACTTGGGTAGGGACTGAGAGTATTGGATGCTCGAGACTCTGCTGTAGAAGGTTGCGTAGTGCCTTCTTTCCAGGGTGGGGCAGGCGTTGATGGTTTTAAATGGATGACTCAGACTCTGGCCCAATAGTACTTTCTTTCTGAGGCTGAAATCAGCAGAAGTGGTTTTGCTTGCTTCCCCGGGATAGGGTAGATTGGAAAACTAATTTATGTATTATTTGATTTATGTAATAAAAGATATTTCTTCCCTTGACCTTTCATACAGTGTCAGATTTGCAGTGAGGCAGACAGACTCTTGAGAAGGATGTCACTGTTAGGGTCACCAGCCTAGGCCCTCTGTGTCTGGCTGTGTCATTTTGCCCGAGATTTTCATGATTGGCAGTGGTAAGAGACATAGGAGAAATTCTACTGGGAGTGTATTGTGTGAGTTGTTTTGGAGGACCTTTTTAAAAGGTACGAGGCTCCTTTACATCAACTAACCAATTTTTAGTACCTACTTTGTTCATGTTTTATTGCTTTTGCCTTGAGTTTTAAAGAGAATTTGCATCTCCCTTCTTGGAAAAGAATAACAAAAATAAGTCTGAATGTTTGTAACGTATGTATGTATATATGAGTATGTGTGTATATTAGGCATGTTGTACATATTGTCCAACGGAATCCTACTTTTATTTTATTTTATTTATTTATTTTAAGATTTTTACTTATTTATTTGACAGAGATCACAAGCAGGGAGAGAGGGAGGCGGGGGCGGGGGGTGGGAAGCAGGCTCCCTGCGGAGCAGAGAGCCTGATGTGGGGCTCAATCCCAGGACCCTGAGATCATGACCTGAGCTGAAGGCAGAGGATTAACCCACTGAGCCACCCAGGCGCCCCCAGAATCCCAGTTTTAATGATGAAGAAACTGAGGTTCAAGGAAGTTTCATAACTTGACCCAACTTTACATCATAAGGCAGGTGCACATGTGGGATTTGAGACCAGTACTGCATAACTCCAAGTTATATAAAAAGTTAAGAATTAACTTTATCATTGTCATTAGTTGTTAAAAAAGAGATGCAGATAGTAGTAATAGTGCAACGTACATTTGGAGGATGGTATATTCCTGTGTGTTGGAGAGCTCAGGAAGTAGGATTTGAGAAGAACCTTAAAAGTTAGATAAACAGAGTTTGGGGCATGAAAGTGGTACATGGTTTATGGAAATGGCCCACAGTTCAGACAAATGTGAGAAGATGGGAGGAGCAAATTTATTTAAAGATAAGACCAAGCCTGGTTCTCTCAGAGGGTTGTACTGAGAATTGAGTGAAATTTGTTACTCCTCCCGCTATGCAAATAAGGTTATTACATAGGTGGGCGTGTTAGTTTCAGATTAAGAAAATTTTTCAGATTAAAATTAAGGCACCCTTATTATACCACTCTTGAAACCTTTCTACTTATTGGGCCCTTCAAAATCTAGACTTAGTTTCCTACATTCTTTATGGAATTAGAACAGTTTTCAACATACATAGTGTTCCCTTCACAGCACCGTATTTATTCCTTATGATAACACCACAATTATACTGTATTTTTTTTAAAGATTTTGTTTATTTATTTGAGATAGAGACAGTGAGAGCATGAGCGAGGAGAAGGTCAGAGAGAGAAGCAGACTCCCCATGGAGCTGGGAGTCTGAGGTGGGACTCGATCCTGGGACTCTGGGATCATGACCTGAGCCGAAGGCAGTCGTCCAACCAACTGAGCCACCCAGGCGTCCCCACAATTATACTGTATTAATCTGTTTACATGTTTTTGTCTCTTAGTAGATTTATAGTAGGGCTCTATCATTGGTACTTATTTCCTTTTATATCACCTATGGCAATGTATGGCGCACAGCGTTGAAAAAAATATTGTTGAATGTTTTCCTCCCCACTCTAGGCAGCATTCCCAATAAATGTTTAGTTCCAGGCACTAAGTACTATGAGGAATACAAGGCTGAAGAAAGCATGTACCTTTCATTCAAGGATGTTCACAGTAGAAGAGAGTTAACTGGGCTTAAAGAAGTGTAGTAAAAGGGATGCCTGGGTGGCTCAGTTGGTTAGGTGATTGCCTTCGAATCAGGTCATGATCCTGGAGTCTGGAGATCGAATCCCCCATTGGGCTCCCGGCTCCACGGAGAGACTGCTTCTCCCTCTGACCTCCCCTCTCGTGCTCTCTGTCTCTTTCTCTCTCTCTCTCTCTCAAATAAATAAATAAAATCTTAAAAAAAAAAAGCGAGGTACAAGATGGAAAATGTCAAATGTTGTGAGAGACTACAGGAAAGAGCTATGGGATTTCAGAAGAACGAGAGATAGCTCTGGCTCATGGGATCAGGGATTAGATGGCCAAGCCAGACAAGTGGGATGAAAAGGGCATCGTAGGTAGAAGGGTGAATGGGAAGAATAGAGCCCATAAAGGCCTGAAGGTGTGCATGTGTGTGGATCTTGATTGAATAGGAAACAGAGTATGATTTTTATTTTATTTTATTATTATTTTTTATATTTTATTTGACAGACAGAGATCACAAGTAGGCAGAGAGGCAGGCAGAGAGAGACGGGGAAGCAGGCTCCCTGCTGAGGGGCTGATGCGGGGCTGGATCCCAGGACCCTGGGATCATGACCTGAGCCGAAGGCAGAGGCTTTAACCCACTGAGCCACCCAGGTGCCTCAACACTAAATATGATTATTAATTGTAGTCTTACTTCATGGAAGGAAAGGTTAACCTAATTTATGTCTCAAATATCTTTTCTTAAGCTGTGAACTAATTTTTATGACAACAGTTATGACCATGTAAATTACAATATGAAGTAGCACGTTGCCTTAGAAGTAACCAAATCTGTAAAATATGCATGCTACATACTGCTGTGGTTATTTGAACTGGGAAATTGCTTACGTTGTCTTTTTTCTCCTTGTAAATGGCTGCTTCCTCATTTTTTTGTTTTTGTTACAGAGTTTGTTTTTTCAATTTTAAGGGTGAGGGTCCACATGGAGATATACTATTAAAAAATAACTATAATTGACATTATAAAACAAGTGAAATATTTTTTGAAACTTGAGGAGAAAAACATCTTTCCTCAGGAGAATTAACCAAGTAAGTAGTGCTCCCTTGAGAGAACTTCATGAGGTAAAGATTAGGGATGTCTTCTTAATGTTTCTTACTAGTGATTACTTCTAGTCATAAGGAATAGTCCCTATGTTCTTGGACCTTACAGCATTCTTTATGCAGAAGTAGAAGTAGAATCATGGGAAATACCACTGTTAAATTTTAGGTAGCATAAGAGCCCTCATCTTTTAAAACCTTTGCATTTCTCTGGAACCTAGCAGGCTTGGATTACCTTATGGCTGGTTTCAGGCTTGCTAACAGATTTCTTAGTTAATTCTGTGTTGTTTCTGAATTTTTTTTATCTGGAGTAAGTATTTCTGTTAAGAATTAGAAAATTCTTTTATAGATGTCCTTTGATTCTTTAAAGAAGACACAGACATAAAAGAGCCATTAGTGATGTTTCTGGTTGTTTCATCGTGCTGCATTTACAAAACTCTTCCTGTAATACAGATTTCTCAACAGCATTAAGTGAATGGTAATTCTTGGCCTGTATTCTTTCCATGAGTTTGGAAAGAAAAAGATACGCTTTAATTTTTAAATGGCAGTGTTGCCTTATGACTACATTTTGTTTATATTGAGGCATACTTTATGTACAGCTAAGCTCGTCAATTTCAGTGAGCATTTTGATGAGTTGTGACAAATGTGTATAGTTGTGTAACCACTGCCATAGTCCTCACTGCAGAAGTTCCCTTATGCTCCTTTGCATTCAGTTCCCTCTTCTACTCTATGCCTAGGCAACCACTGATCAGTTTTCTGTCACTATAGATTAGGTTGTATTTTCTAGAATTTGATATAAAAGGAATCATACAGTATGCATTTTGTTTTTTTTTGGTCTGGTTTCTTATCTCAGCATGATTACTTGAGATTCATCTATGTTGTATGTTTTTATTCTCTTTTATTGTTGATCAGTATTTCATTGTATGGTTATACTAGAGTTAATCCATTCTGTTGATGAGCATTTGGATTTTTTCTGATTTTGGCTCTTATGAATACAGTTATCATGAACATTTGTATAGAAGTCTTTGTATAGACATTTGCTTTCATTTTTCTTGATGACACACAACCTTGTTTACTGTAGCTTTATACTAACATCTGGAAATTAGGTTCTCTTTCTCCAAATTGTTTTGACTGTTCTAGATTGTTTGCATTTTTGTATAAAGTTTAGAATCAGTTTGACAGATTTTGAAGACATGCCTACCCATATTTTGATTGGCGTTGTGTTGCGAATACAGATCAGCTTCTACAGAAGAAGATGTCTTAGCAACATTGATATCTTAGCAATTTTGAATCTTCTGATCCATGAACATGGATCTTCCATATTTTAGCTCTTTAAGCAGTGTTTTCTAATTTTCAGTGTGCAAGTCTTGTGCATACTTAAAGCAATTTGGGTGTTTTTTCAAGCTGTGAGAATACGTAAGTCCACTTTTTTTTATAAAACATTTTCATTCACTTATTTGAGAGAGAGAGAGTGACTACAAGCAAGGGGAATGGCAGAGGGAGAGGAGAAGCAGACTCCCTGCTGATCAGGGAGCCTGATGCAGGACTTGATCCCAGAGCCCTGGGATCATGACCTGAGCTGAAGGCAGATGCTTAACCAACTGAGCCATCCAGGCGTCCCTGGAATGCTTGTCTCTGCGTTGGTATCAGTACTCATCTGAAGTGTCAGCTCCTGCCCTGTGTTTCCCAGGAAGCCTTTCTTAGGTGTGGAACTCCATGTGTATTATATATTCCTCTG